ACTACCGATTAATAGACTTTGCCGTATGAGTATACGTTGCCCAGGTTGCACCACGTGGATGTAAGTCTATCACACACCCCCCTTTGAAGCATAATCACTCTGGGAATTAATTTGTGCAGTTTGCGGAGGAAATTACACACTATTCATTATTATTATTATTATCAAAGTTGACTTTTAGCGGATTTGTGTGAGTTATATTAGGCTGAATTATCTTAACAAGCATTAACAGGATGCTCTTGACTAAAAGAAACGACCAAACTGTTGATTCAGTGGATTTTGAAAATCGAATATGCGATTTCCAGAGGTATTGCTGGGGGGGGGGGGTTCATAGTTCTTGCCTTGTCGGTTGACGATAGACGTGAGAATGAATAGAATCTTGGCATCTATTAAGCGCGTTCAGTGAACTCCTTAATTAGATCAAGACTTGGAATGGACCATTTTTCAGAAATGTAAATGTCCATTGTGGTTATTACTAAGGCTTCAGAGTGAAAGAAAAACAACCTATAATTCAAACCACGGTTTGTAATTAATTAAATTTGTCCACATATATTTGGATATGTAGTAAATAATTAAGTGCATGAGGCTTGAAATCGGTGAACTTCGATCCGGTGCACTGAAAATATTGGTCGTTCTTATGCAAACTGAAAATTGGCCTTTAAATCCATTCTTGTTGCCATGGTAACTGTACTGTGACCCCCTGCTTTAATATTATTTTCGGTGTGAATCTCTCATAGAAGTCCTAAAATTGAATATTCATTTAATTTCTTATTTAAAGTCTTGAAACAAATGTATATATCCTTAGAACCTATTCTTTAAAAGATTCACTTAATTGTGAGCTAGATTAATTATAATAGTGATTATCACATATCTCATGCTATGAGTACTTCATTTATGAATTTTGCCCTATATTCTCCGTGTCCTCGAAAACAGTTGTTTTAAAGGGAAACCTAACTCATAGTCGTCGATCAAACGTATTCTATACTAGTAACAATTTTCGTCATTGAGAAGGAGGGAAAGGTAGTTCTTATTTGGGTCCATGATAGTCTGTGTCCTCCTTGTGGGCGTTCTTTTCCAAGAAGACTTCGTCTTCTTACCTTTTGCATCCGATCTGCTTAGCGGTGGTCTTGAATGTGTTCAGTTTTTTTGAGAATCAAATTTTTTGCTGAACTTGTGTTATGCTATTGAAAGAGGGAGGCATTCGTACAGTCTTAAAACGGCAGAAACTTCTCTAAGGTCGCGCGGCCTTGACCTTAAATTAAACCTTGAGCTTGCATTTTCATTGTCCGTTAAAAGGCTTTCGACTTTCGTTCCCTCTTCCATTAGAGTTCTATCTGACATGAAGTCTATCAATCAAATCTGATACATGTTCAGGCCAATCGTATTACTCGTATCCCGAAAAATTCCACATACTAAGCCTTCAGCAACGTGAATTTTGTGTATTTAGGCAATTAAGTAAGTATGTAATTAAGCAGATTGGTTTTATAGCTATCTGATAGGTTCCTTGGTTGGTTTACTTTGTGTTGATCGTAAAAACGGACAAATGGTAACATTTGACCATCTGTTCTTACCACGAGCAGTAGCAAAACTTGCTCTTTGAATGTTACAGATGCATCTATTTGATTGGCTAATAAGCAGTAAACTTCGGAGACGTTAACTCAATCACAATGCGAATATGATGCATCGAAATGTATACTATGTAACTAAATATTGAAAGCTCAAATGAGTTTAAACTCGTTTGACACTACGGCTTTATTCTCTACTTCTTCTAGACATCTTCCTCCTCCCCCCCCCCTTCTTCATCCCGTTTTGAGACTATTTTTCTGCTTTTTCCCAGTTGTCACAAATTCTGCTTATTCATTTCTCTCTCTCTGTCTGTTGATCGTAACCTTGTATTGTTGCTCATTGTACTGCTATTCTACTGCTCCTAATGTAATGCAGGTTTGGTGTTGCACCATGGCAACTTCTTTAAGAAAAAGACAATAGAGCACTGTTTTGATGCACTAATAATCCACATAAATTGGCATAACCCTATTGTATAATTGAAAATTATTTTGTCTCCAAAAATTTGCACAGAACTTGAAACTGCTTACAGTATTAAACCGCCTAGTTTATGTGATGTCCTTATCCCTACAATAGTTAACTGACTGAAGGTGAAGCATTCAAAAGTACTACATTTTGCAATTTGTTTGGCCTACATTGCTTTTTTATAGCCTTGAATTTTTCGAAAATGTGGGCTAAGATGTTCTAATGTTGGACACGTTTTGGCCTATCGTAAACTAAATGCCTGTCACGGACATAGGGCTCTCTTTTTTTATGAACCAGAGTTTGGGAATGAAATTGCCGAGTCACAATTTAAAGTACAAATTTTCTAAAAAAAGATTCTTCGCTCTCATTTTATTTAAATTGGCTATTTCATATATGCTTTGCCATTCGGTTCGACTTATTGGATGATAGGTGTCTATTAGAATTTGTTTGTAAGTAGGAATTGCGTCCTTGGTTTAAAAGTAACATCAATTATTTCCTTTGGGAATTCTTTTTTTTGGTGTTAAACCTAATCCTCGTCCTTTATCCAAAAATCGTCTTATAAGTAGTATCTCATTTTTTGCTCGTTTGCTACTATAGAATGTCTCATGCGAGCATCGCAAGTCAATCGGGCATGGTACAAAGCCGCACATCATCCTCGACTCTTTCAAAGCCTCTGCTGCTCCCCGGAGTGGTCACTTCCCAATCTCGATGCTAATTTTCCTCCCTCACTGGAATGTCGAAGTGCCAATTTTTTCTTTCCAGACTTGCCTTCTCCTACAGCCCAGGAGAGCTCTAAGTTACCTCCAGACGGTAATGACGTGAGTCAGATTTGTTCTAGCACACAAATGTATTGTTTTGCTTAATAAGTTGCTGCTGCTGTGGTATTTTGAAGTATGGCCTGCTAAATGTTTCTTATAGTCATTTTTTCCCTTTAAACCCCTTAAAATTAATCTATTGGCAATTATTTTTTGTGTTCAAATGTTCGTGTAAACTGGGTGCAATCCGCTACCTTTCATTCTACCTCCCAGCAGCTGAGCTTACGTGCCGTTTTCAAGACACACCGCTCCCCGCCCCCACCCTCCCCCACCTCCCTCTTCCTTCCCTAATCTCCATTTTATGTGTTTAACACCAATATATTTAGACGTCTCTACGCAGTTTTGATTTAGGCGTCATAGAATCAGCTAACGAAATTCAGAGAATACATCACCGTATGGGTGATCAATAAGTAGTTTAAGGGGTTTTGGGTTATGATCTGATTGTATTGTAGATTTATCCGTTCTCACTTTTATACTTTCCTCATTTTTAATCTTAAGCCATTAATGATTTGTCTATCTAACAACATTGATCCTCAATGCACACCTTATTGCGTTTCTCGAAACTTGTTATGATTTCCTTTTTAATAATTTTTTCAATATAGTGGTTCCAAAAGTTCAAATGGCGCTATCAGGTTCGCAAAAACTGGGAGCGTGGGAAACATCGGGTTCGACGATTTGTCGGGCACACTGGAGCTGTGCACTGTTTGGCCTACGACGCTTACCGCATTGTCAGTGGCTCAGCGGACTCTACCATCTGCGTATGGAAGGTCTGTTCCAATGCCAATTGGCTAGCTCAGACTCTTCGAGGTCATTCAGGAGCTGTTCGGTGTCTGGAACTCCTTCCACTTCCGGCTTCTCTCGCCTCTCCTTCTACTCCTCCTTTGCAATCTCAGTCCCCGAGTGTATGGGAACCCCCAGAGGCTTTACTCATCTCAGGATCTGTTGACACCAATCTCAAGCTATGGAGGCTGTCGTCCACGTTTGAATGGTCTCGGATAACGTGCATTGGAACACTTCAGGGGCACCTGGATACTGTCCGATGCTTACAGGTAATCTCCTATTTGGCTCTCTAACCTTTAAATAGCTTATGTTTTGGCTATCATAATCTTCTCATTGAGTGGACCTAATAGAATTGCTATAGTTGGGCGTACCAGAGTTGTCTTTTAAATTGCAAGATGGAAATTTGGTAAAAGTTTAGGTAGATCTCAATTTTCATAAATATACATCGTTCCTCTGGGCTTCCTTTGATACTACTCATAAATAGTTTTATCAATTGTGATCACGGATCCCTTCAGGAATATCTGGATACTGTTGGTCGCATTCAGGAAATTTACTTATATTTGATGTCTCATTTAAAGTATACTTCTCAACAATTGGCATTTGAACTTTGTTCTCAAGAGTTTTTTATTGGACCGATTGAACAAATTTAATTTGCCGCTTGACTAATTTAAAAAGTATCTGACTTTCTAAATTTACTTCACGAATATAGACTATGTGTACCATGGGAACAATGATTAACGTTCCCTCCTTCAAAATCTGAGGTCACATGTTTAAAATTTCTATCGCGATGCACACCCCATTAAGCTGAATGACCATCCTCACTTTTTGAATTTGCCAATAAAATGGAAGGGGTGGTAGAATTAGAGCTCCTCGCTAAAGGGGCTTCATACTGCTGAGCGTTGGAGAACGCTTTTCTTTATGAACTTTGAAATAAAATACTGTCGCCGACTTGCTTTTACTTTCGCCTAGAAAAATTAAAAGTTTAAAATGTCCGGTCAGGAGAGAAATGAAGTATATATTACACTGCCTATCAGTAAAGTTTATGGAGTCAGCTGTTCAAATTTTGCTATCATGAATGGCTTTACTGCGTGGGGAGTGGGGTGGTTCACCGAAACGAGACAATTAGTAGTATTTTCGATTCCTCCGTAATTGCAATTTTTTCTTCGCAGGCTGATTCTGAAAAAGCGATCAGTGGTTCCTACGACTGTACAATGAGACTGTGGGACCTCGCCTCCAGTACTCAAAAGGCAATATTTCGGTAAGTGCTACTGATATATCTAAGTAGCAATGTATTGGCGCGATGTTAATTTATCCAAATTCCAACTATAGTGGTCATACTGCCGGTGTAGTCTGTCTTACTTATGACGATTCCCTTCTATATTCCGGCTCCTTGGATAACACTGTTCGAGTGAGTAATATCCCACCATTCTATAGATCGAAGGAATTTGTAGATTTCGAATTATCAATTTACCTGTTTGTTTAAGGTATGGAGTCTGCGAACCACAGCGTGTTACTACACTCTTGTAAGGCCTGGAACTCGACCCGGAGCTGAGTTCTGGACAACCCCGGTGACAAGTCTCCATTTAGATTCTCAACGAAGGCGACTCTTCGTAGCACACCATGACGGCCGCATCTGCGTATGGCGTATTTCATCCACATCGCTTCTAGAGAATGAGAAGACTCCTGTGAGTGTGGAGCAGCCTGAGTTGATTGAACAACTCTGTGTAGAAGCGACGAATGAACAGTCTACTGGAGCGGTTATTCGATGCCTTGCTGGAGATGGATGGCATCTTCTGTGCGGGTGTGACGACCAGACAATTAAGGTAAATAAAAATGGAAACCCCCTTTTAAAAACGTTACTCAATACAACCAAAATGAGTATGAATGGATAATACAGTCTATCATCTTTGATATGCGGGTCTTAGTTTATTTTATTTCATTTTTTCCACTCGATCAACTTCATGCAACAGTGTATTTAGGTTAATGCTCTTGTAATGAGATAAGAAGAGTTTAGACGGTAAATATCGATTTATCGCCTGATCTAGAACTGAGCCACTGAGGAGGAGGGGGGGGGGGGGGGGGGGGGGAGGGGGTAAATGGCCACTAGTCGAGTGGTGTTAAAGAACCGAGTGGGAAAGATAAAGTCTTGATTTACTGCGTTTTTTAAATGAAAGTGGATCTCTTGTTTTTTGTAATTTTATAGATCTGGAGGGCAGATTCAAATAAACCGATTGGCTGCATCCGCGGGCATGAAGATGGAGTGACGTGTCTACTGGTCTACGGTTCGGTGGTCATATCGGGTTCCTATGATAAAAATGTCATTTTATATGATTTTGATGTCAGTTGACCTTGGTGCTCCTCGTAAATTCCTACCCTCCAACCTTTTTCTCATTTTCATCAGCCACTGATATCAAATGAATCACTTTTACCTTAGAATCTTTCATCTCCAGAAAATGGATTATGCATTTTGAATGTTGGTTTATTATTCTTTCTGTATTTATCTGAATAAATTTTGTGTGCTTAGATCAGCATAACAAATATCGATTTCAGTATTTTGAAAACACGAACTCTTCTACTTATGAAATTTAGTAGGCTATGTTCCAATGTCGCGTAGGCTTGTTAGTTGAAACTGAAAGTGAGGTTCGACGAACGGCTAAAGCGAGAGAGAAGCAACAAAGATTCGGTGGGCAACTTCAGAGTACCAGGATCTTACTTCGTTGGAGTTTTGGGCTTAAGTTGTATAATGATTATCAAATAGGTTCTGAAATTTAGTTATTTATATCAAATGGCAGGTGTTTTGATAGTTATCAATAGCCCTTTAGAGGGGAAGGAACATCAAAGTGAAAAAAAGTCGAGAAAGAGGGAAGAACAGAAGAGTGTTTTAAAAATGTAGTAAAAAAAGACACAAGGGTTGAAAAAAAGTTGAAGTGAGTACTGTGGAAGGGTTCGAATATGAAATACAGTGGGGTGATGGCAGATTGAAGTGAGAAGTCAACTGCCGGTTAATAGACTTTCTGTCACATGAGTATACGTTGCCCAGGGTGCACCACGTGGGGGGTAAGGTTCTAAAATTCAAGTTCCATGATTCATACCGTGTTATAGCAATTAATTGCCCACGATGTTCAGTGCCTAGCCTGCTTAACAAATCATGGTAATCGATCTTGCCTATTAAAGTCTCTTTTTTTTCCAGTTAATGAGAGGACAAAATTTCCTCGCTGATGATAATAATTAGTAACTTACTGTCTGCACACAGAAGGGATGAGATTGCTAAATAATTAAGGTCGACAGAGCTCCATAGGCTTGCAAATTACGACGCAATCACGTGCAATAAGCAGAATTGAAGTTGATATTTTAAGTCTCATCGATTAAGGGTAATAATAAGTATACTTTCAGCGTTTATTACTATTGGTGTTAGCACGTCAAAAACCGCGCTCAATAAAGACTCCGATTTCAAATACTGCTCTGTACCAGGTGGCCATTGCATGAATTCTGTTGGTTTTATTGTTTGATAGTTGAATACTTATTTTCGTGCAAATACTTTTGTTGTGCATTAGTTTGACCTAACTAATGAGTTCCTCACCGTAGCCTCGTGCCGCTTACGTCTAATAGCCGGAACTGCATCAAATGCGTTAAACTCGCTACCGTTCACTTGCTGAGTCAGTGTGTCCTCATTGTTTGAGAGCCTGCAATCGTTTGACCAAATTTGTTTGCTTCCATTTCCCAATGTATTAAAGCCCACTGTGACTTCACCCATAAATGCCACTACTTGTTGCTCTGCCTTCCACTGCACCAGAGAAGCCACCAGCAGCTAGAGTAGATTACTACTAATAATACTACTCTCTCTCTCTCTCTCTTCCCTTCTCTCCATCCTACTGGCGTAACGAGGAAAGTGGATGGCAATCATCAGATATCTGACTGCGTGTATCTCCTGAAATCGCAAACTAAACGTAAGCGTTCATTGACCTCAGCAGATGTAGTAGTCGTGCAAACTCCGCTTAGTCATCCATACATAGCAGTACGTTTTGTGAAGCTGGTTTGTTACTAAATAGACATCTGCCCTCCGAATTCCTCCTCTTTGGTAGTTATAGTTCTAAGGCATACTCTACACCATCGGTGATGTGAAATGCTGTCTGTTAAACAAAACACCTTTGATAGTATCAGCCAGCTGATCTTGATTTGTCAGAGGAGAAGAAATGGCAGACACCATTCCAATGTTAAATCAGCTTAGAACTCCGGGGGTAGTGATTATCAATCAGAGATTTAAAGTATAATTAGGCAATTTGATAGTTAATGGAATCAGAAGCTGATAAACTCGCTTGATGTCCACACTCATTCTTCTTCTTATACTGCAAGCCAGGTCAACAAAATTACGCACTAAAGTTGCTGCCATTCCGCGAGCGGTAACACGGCCACTTAACCTAGTTCGGAAAGAGGGGTGTGGGATAGACTTACCTCCATGTGGTGCACCCTGGGCAACGTATATTCATACGGCAAAAAACGGTGCACCCTGGGCAACGTATATTCATACGGCAAAAAGTCTATTAACTGACAGCTGACTTCTGCCTTCAAACTATCATCACCTCACTCTATGCCATATTCGACTACTTCCACAGTACTCACCTCACCCTTTCTCCCTACCTTTGTGCTTGTCTCTTTTCATCTTTGAAATACACTTCTGTTTCCCCCTCTCGACCTTTTTACACTTTGAAATACACTTCTGTTTCCCCCTCTCGACCTTTTTACACTTTGATGTTCCTTCCCCTCTGTGAAGTCTGAAGTCAACTAAATGGCTAATGATAACTATCAAATCGCCTGCCATTTGATATAAATACATTCGGAAAGAAAGATGTAGCCTAATCAAATAGCTAATGCTCCAAATTACCACGATATTAACAAAAATAAGTTTTCGTATTCAAATAGCTTTATTGTGAACAAAAGGAAAAGGAAAAAGACATTGGCATAATGGGTAATGACAGTAAACAATAGGCGAACTAAAATTAGCAGCACAAACAAACACAATCGGGTATAGCATGAATTCCACTAAGTGCAACGACCACTAGGTACAATGCTAACTTCTGATAACAATAAGTAAATAAGCCGCCAACGAAGCACTTGTGCAATCGGCCAACAGTAGAAGAGGAGCCAAAGTTATCATTGGGATAGCGTTAAGGTATCAGGGGGTCCAAAATCGTATAATTGGAAGCATTTCCAAGTTCCAGAATTCAAGCTTTACGATTCGCCACCTATATTGCTGAGCGAATCTCCTCCGCGACATTTCACACTTACAGATAGGTCGCTCTTGGTTGTTGGTATTATGTGTCGTGTTTCTTTGCTACCCCTGTTCATCAAAAGCAGAACGATGTGGATTGACATAAAGCAACTTATATGAAGTTGGTGTCGTGGAGATAGGACAAATAAACCGTGCACTTGGTGGAACACTCGAGGTAATGAATTGAATAAGATATTTTCAACTGGAAGTTGATTTTGAAAGAAAAACCCCAGCTGGAACACGCCCTTACAGAGTTTCATCGAATTATATTATACAGCTGGTAACTGTGAGGGGAAAAGTACAAAGGTTAAAAAACCACGTGAGGCTGAATTTTACAGACCAGAAGGCAGATACTCCGATATCGCGGAAATGATATCAGAATGTGGAGCAATTTTAAATTACGAACTAATGGGGAAAAAGGCAACTGTGGGCTAAAAAACAAAGGTAATCGAATCAGTTAGCATCCAGCGATGATGATGGTCAACTTCATTGGTTAAATCTGGTCAGTATGAGGGTGTGGAGTGCGCGTTTCTAGAGCATCTGCACAATGCGCATTTCAGGAACTGTAAGTTCTCTTTTTAATGGAACTGGGAAGAATACTGGCTGCAAGTATTAATAATTCAGAGCACGGGTGTGCGATAGACTTACCGACACGTGGTGCTCCCTGGGCAACGTATACTCATACGGCAAAAGAGTCTATTAACCGGAAGTTGACTTATGACTCCAAACTACCATCACCCCACTGTATGTCTTATTCGACAACTCCCACAGTACTCAGCTCATCTTTTTCTCTACCTTTGTGTCTATCTGTCTCCTCTAAATCTGTGAATCACTCTTCTGCTCCACCTCTCGAATTTTTCTCACTTTGATTTTCCGAAGCCCAAAGTCAGCTAATTGGCTAAGTATAAATATTCAAAACGCCTGTCATTTGAAATAATAATAATAATTCAGAGTACTCCATTGTATTCCCAATTTGAAATCATTACAACAAATTTCGTAGGTACAAATTGTACCTGCAAATCATTTCAATAAGGTAGAGGTTATTAGTATTATTGAAGTTGAAGCATTTTTTGCATAAATATGAGTCATCCGCTTTGTTCAATCACGGAAAATTATTTAAGACTGCACTATACTTGCACACAAGAGAAGAAACATACTAAATTAAGTAAGCAACTGATTTTAAAAAGAAAACAACTTGAACTATAATTAGGAAAAGAATCAATACCAGTTCGAATTTTTAAAGTTCTAATGTCATTAATGACAGGGGACAACAATTTAGCAAGACATAGACCGGCCGATGTCTTTCCACATAATGAAGACCTTAATCAGGAGAGAGAATTCAAGACCTCAAGATGCAACGAACTTAAAGCTCGAACAAAGGAAAAACAGTGGACAGTGGCCCTATCCGACTGACCAAGAACCGGACACCTTCACAGATTGGGAGTATACACTCAACCCACATGCCCCCTATGTAACCTACAGGAGAAAATGGAGAAGACCCACCTGATTCGGTGTCCAGCCCTAAAGACAACGATGGAAAGCCAGAGATACTGGGAAGCCAGAAAACAGCTTATGATCTGCTATCAATTAACTGCTATATATGTACCCCCACCCCTCCCCACCCATGGGGAAAGCTGAAGTTAACTAAGGGGCTTATGAAGAAGCCTGCCATTTTAAATAATAATAATAATGCTATTAGTGACGCTTTATGTAAGCGCCTGGGCAATGACGTAGGGGACTTTGGTTGCGCTATTACCTGAGACAGGTCAGTTCTAGAACAAAAGGAGAGCAGAAAAAACTCGTCTATAACACGATAGATAGGGATTTTGGGTCCGCGAAACACAAAGGCAAAGCACAAGGCATCTTCACACAAATAGTACTTTTGAAAATGCATTCATTCTTCGCGACAATATACTAATTATAGTGTGTAAAGAAAATAATCAAATTGCAAATAGTCATATTAATCTATTGCGGTTAAAAACAATAATGTTTAAATTTAGTATATACTTATTTATATCAAATGGCAGGCGTTATGATAGTTACCATTAGCCCTCTAGTTGACTTCAAGCTTCACAGAGGGGAAGAAAAATCAAAGTGAGAAAAATGCGAGAGGAGGGGGGGGGGAGAGAAGAGTATTTCAAAGATGTAAAATGAACAGACGCAAAGTTGGAGAAAAGGTGAGGTTATTACTGTGGAAGTAGTGGAATATAACATACAGTGGGGTCATGGAAGTTTGAAGTCAGAAGTCAACTACCGGTTAATAGACTTTTTGCCGTATGAGTATACGTTGCCCAGGGTGCACCACGTGGAGGTAAGTCTATTACGCACCCCATGTTGGGAAGGGGGGGGGAAGGAGAGGAGGGTAGTCAAAGTGGTGAATCACAATGTTGCAGACGTGCGGATCGAAGAGAAATATGACAAATTC